TTAGGAAGTTGAAAACGAAATTAAAATGTTAAATATGAGAAAATATTTTTAATTTTTTTGAACAGAAGAAAAGAATTTAAAAAAGCTTTATTAGAGCTGTTGACTTCTTAACGCTATAATTAAAAAAATAATCACATAAAATTTCTTTGGAACATTTTCGATAAAATATTAAAAATGTTATTATGGTTTAAGCCTTTAAAATATATATTATTGGAATCTATATTTTAACTTAATACTTGTGGGTTTCTGATGGATTTGAGCTAACAATTGGGTATCTTGCATCGATATTTTGTCGACTATTTTGTCCTAAGAAAGTCGTTTTATCGACTTTGTAGACTTTTCAGAAATTGATTTAATTCGAAAGTTGACATTTTGTTAACCCAGCAAAAACTTACAACTTATTGGTTAAAATGCTAAAATTTACTTGTACAATAACATTTTAAGTCATTATTTTAAAACGGTAATGACATTGGAGGCAAGTACTTACCAAGCTCGCTTACAAATAAAGAGTTAGGTAAGTACTTACTACAACTGCCTTCAATAAGTTTTGTTTTCAGGAAAAATTTCCAACGAAAATACGTCCAAAAATTTTAAGAAAACAAAGAGTCAAATCCAAAAAAGTAAGTACTTAAGTACTCAGTTATTTGTAAGTCATTACTAGACTCCTTCTAAGTAATGCAGGCGATATATAGTAGTCATTGAAAAGTAAGTTATTGAGTAAGTAGCTACTACTAGCCCCACACAAGTTAAATAAAATTGTTATCTCTATTTAAACTTAAGAATAAGATTCCTTAGATCTGTTTATCTTGTTTCCCTTACATCTTGTAGAAAGTTAAAATTAACAACTACTTTATACAAATTTTAAATTATACTATCTAGTATTTTTATAAGATTAGCAACAGCTCTTGTAAAAAAAATAAAATTTTTATGCAAATTAAAACGAATAAAATATCTAAATCATTTAGGATTATAACGATTAATTGATTAAAACTTTACTACCACAGAACCTCTAGTAACATGTCAAAATCTGACTAAAGAGAAAAGAGAATTCTGTCGCTCAACAACGGAGAAGCGGTTTCAGAAGTACAGTAAATACGGGGTTTCTTAAACCGAGTAGAAAAATCATAATTAAACAAGTAGGGGTATTCAGGGGTCATTTATAGACCGATCCTCATAAATATTTGTAGGAATATTTTGGTTCCTATATAATTTATTTGTGGCGAATTTCTTAGGTATGATATCAATTTTAAGCCAGTAATGAGAGTTGAAAGAACTTTCTGAAGGAGGTCTAATATGAAGTGTAGGATCAATTATGAACTGATCGTCTTAGCACTTGGTAAAGAGATTTTGGTTTCTAAATAATTTGTTTATTTCGAATGAGGGTAGAGTGTAGGGTCAATTATAACCCGATTCTTATACAATTTTGTATATAGATTTCGTTTTTCACCACCGTTTACCTAATCACAACACTAGCTTCGAGGCAGAAGTTCGAGCAATAACGGAATGCGTAAATTGGATTAGAATAAATATGGCGCCCACAGGGCTTAACATATTTACCGACAGCCAGAAGGCAATTAGGGCGATATCAGGTGATAAAGTTAAATCTAAAACCGTATTGGATTGTAAAAAAGCTCTAACCGAATACTCTCTCAGAGGTTAGGTTGACATCACATCATCAGGGAACTCGAGGTAGTTAACCTGACGAACTCAAAACCACTTGAAGCAACGAGGGCAGAATTAAAATTATGGGTGAGAGAAACCCATAAGGCCTCTTGGAATAATGAAACCATGGGTAGAACCACAAAGATTCTATGGGGTGACCCTTTTCAGTGGACACACAAGATTACGGGCACACCTATACAAAATTGGACTTGCGGATTCAGACGAATGTAGAGCATTTAGAGAGAACAGTGAAACTTTGGAACACTTTCTTTGCCATTGTCAGGCTTTCGCCGAAATTAGATCCAAATATCTTGGAAGTGATATTATTCCTGATTTAATATCCCTCACGAACACTGATTGGAAAATCCTTAGGAATTACGTCCAGGAAACTGAGTTTCTGAACATCGGACGATAATACATTTATTGAATACTATATAAGCTTTTTGTTTTTAACAACAAACATTTTCCATGAAAAGGAGCGCACAACAGGCCCGATAGTGGTCTAGGTGTATTTCTTCGGATTTGATGTAGATACATCCTCCTATAGATAGCGGAGTCGATTTAGCCATGTCCGTCTGTCTTTTCTATAATATTGAACCTGGAAACATGAAATTAAGTATGTAGAGCCCGGATTAGGTCAGAACACATAAAAGGGGAATTTATGGTACTTTTTCGTTCTACAAAAGGTACTTTTTGACTTTTCTATAATATTGAACCTAGAAACATGAAATTAAGTTTGTAGAGCCCGGATTAGGCGAGAACACATAAAAGGGGACTTTTTGGTACTTTTTCGTTCTTCAAAAGGTACTTTTTTTAATTTTCTATAATATTGAACATGAAATTAATTATGTAGAGCCTGGATTAAGTGGGAACCCATAAAAGGGGACTTTTTGGTACTTTTTCGTTCTTCAAAATGTACTTTTTGAAATTTCTATAATATTGAACCTAGAAACATGTAATTAAGTATGAAGAGCCCGGATTTTGTGAAAACCTATAACCCGGATTATGTGAAAACCTATAAACCATGTAGATCCTGGATTATGTGAGAACCTATAAAAGTGAAAACCCATAAAAGGGGACTTTTTGGTACCTTACCGTTTTACAATTGTTATTTTTTGATTTTTTGTAATAAAATTCGTACTGACTGTGTTTTTTAACACATCATGGTGAAGGGTATATAAGATTCGGTACAGCCGAATATTGAACTCTTACTTGTTTTTCTTTATAATAGTGAATTTCAAGAAAGTACATATAAAACACTTATTGTTGTGTTTTAAATTTAATCACGCCATTAAAATTTGACCTTAAGATTTTAATCAATTAATGGTATAATCCAGCACAATCCTAAGTTAAAACTGAAAAAAAGAAATAATTATCAATTTAAAAAATTTTAAATAAAATTCAACAGCATGAAATTGATGAAACGTTAGTTAAGATTCAAAAATCAATTAACCTATTCACAAACGATGTTGTAAAGTTGTATGACACAATAATAAATAATAAAAAATGATGACATACAACTTTACAACGCCGCTGGTGTACTAAGCAAATGTAATTTAATTTAAAAAAATATAAATGAAAATTATAAAATTAAACAAAAATGAATTTATTATAGGAATAATAGTTAAAGATGTCTAGTACAAGAGAAAAATTTTACATTACGACTGTACTTTTTATAACTTTATTTTTATTATTTTTTTTTTTCAAAAAACACAATAAACACCAAACGTCAATTATTATTTATTTTTATGTAATAAAACTTTGACATAAACGTTTAATTATTTCCTTTTGAAACATGAACCATAAATTTTTTTTTTGTTTCAAATTACTGGAGTATAAAAAAAAACAAATTAAATAGTTTACGTTTAATATGTTTGTAAATGCCAATTGTTTAAAAGTAAAAAGAGAAAGAATTCAATTATTTATGTATAAAAAGAGAAAGAAGAAAAACTCAAATAAAAATTATATTTTTGAAATAAATTTTGATTGATTTAATTAATTTAGTTTCTTTTTTTTTTTTTGGTTTTTACTCAAACAAATACAAAAACACAAAGCGTGCAACATGAGAGAGAGAGACAGTAGTAGTAGTAATTGTAATGAAAAAGTTAGTAATTTATTATTATCGAATAGTTTTAGATTGAGAAAAAGGAAAAGTTTTCAATTCAATTTTCAAATTTAATTAATATTTAGACACTAAACAAAAATTAAAACAATTTAAGAAAAAAAATTATTTATAAATTTAATAAATGTCAATTAATGGAACTTTTAAAGAGATGAAAAAGAAAGAAATTGTCAAATGAAAAGGAAACTAAAAATTAGGCTAATTATTAGTTAAAAGAAAATAAATGATAAAGAAAAAATTCTTTAATAAGGAAGGAAGTTAAAACAAAATAATAATTTCCGTTTCCGTTATTTCCTCATTTTTTTAATATTAATACTGTTACTGTTAGTTTGTTTATCGGCTGTGGAGATTGTTTTTGTGTTTGTTGTTATTGATGTTGAGAAAGGAGAGGAGTTTTTTTATTGTTGTTGTTGTTGTGTGTGTATTTGTTAATTTTGATTTTGAGTATTTTAATAATTTTATTATTAAAATGTAGGAAAAATGAAGAAAATTAAAAAAAAAAGAGAAACAAAAACTGTTTGTATAAGTTTTGTGTTTGTGTAGGTTAAGAGAAGGCTGACTGACTGACTGACTGTGACAGGGTTAGGGAGCTGGTTTGAGTTCAATACATGCGTGTCTGTAATTTCTTAGGGGTAATTTGTTATTGATTGTTTAGAGGGGCGGTTTGTGGATTGTTGTATGTATGTGTTATGTGGATTTCGTTTAATTTGTGGTTAATTTTCTCTATAAAAACAAAAATCAAAATAAAATTTCCTTTCGTTACGTATTTGTTTTTTGTTTTTTTTTTCTTAAATAAATTTATAACTTTAAACAATTAAAATTTTTTATAAGTTTATGTTTTGATTTTGTATGTAATGACCAGCAAACTAAGAAAAAAAATGTTTTAAAGAAACTAAAAATTATTTTAATATTTGTTTTACAAACATTAGCAGCAATACTTTTGTTATAAAAGTTTTACTTATTTTTAAAATTTTTTTTTATAAGAAATTTCATTTTGATTTGGTGTTTATTTTATTTAGTTCTCTATAACAAAATTAAAACAAAAAAAATCATAAAAATTATAAAACAAATTAAAAAATTAAACAAAATAATAGTTTAAAACAAAAATTTGTTTCTTTTATATTTAACATTGTTGTAGTTTGTTTTTTTATGAAATTTTTATGATTTTTATTTAATTTTTGTTTTTTATTAAAAATTTTTTTTTTGTGATTCTCACCTTCGACCCTTTTCATTTTTTAATGTGCCCCCATATTTGGCTCTTGTTCCAATCAAGTCTATAATCTCAGGTATACAACTTGCAAATATCGCCTGTTTTCAATTATATGGATGGATCAATAAATTTTTTTGTTTGGTAAATTTTTATCAAATTGTTAATGTTTGTTATTTAAGGGCGCAGAAATTTTGTTGCAAATTTCACTAAATCTAATAAATATATACGTATTAAAAGTACAAAAATTTTTATGTAAAAGTATAATTTCTGTCAAATCTTATAAACAATTTACGTTTTGTCTATATAAAAAAAAGAGCTGCCTGCTGTTTCCTGGAGACCTAATCTGTAGCGTAGCGAGTGAATTATTGTTGAAACCTGTCCTAAGAAAAATATGCCAATTTTATTTTCATACTTCATACTTAACGAAATTTTTGTGTGAGGAACCTTTTCTTTTTTTTGGTTTTTTTCTCGGAATTTTATTTTGTTTTATTTTTTTTCTGATAAGGATTTGCGTTTGTTTAAACAGAGATTATTGAAAAGTTGTAAAAGAAATTATATTTAAATTTTTAATGAAATAATAAGTATTTTTAATTAAAAAAAAATAAATTATAAAAAAATATTATTGTTGTTTTAGTTGTCTGCAAGTACGAATATCAAAACAATATCAAAAGAAAGTTAATATTTTAAATTTTTAGGAGCGATCTTAATAGATCTTAAAGACCCAGATAAGAATGGTTGGTTTATTTGCAGTTCCCCCGTAATCTGTTTCTCCCCACAGCTAGGGCTGAGAAATTGGCAAGAAATTGGAAAACTATTTCTTTAAATTTTCGATAGAATTATCGGTTAAGGTTAAAAAACTCAGAACTCATCAACAATTTGTTCTCTGGAGTTTTCAAGGACTTAACTAACTTAACTTTAAAGTTAATTCTATAAAAAATAATAACTAGTTCCAGTACAGCTCCAAAAATTGCTTATAAGTTCACCAAAATTCCCCTAAATTTAATTTAAGAAATTGTTCAAGAACCGTTACATAGAGCGAGTTACAACTCCATAACGCTTCCACATAACAAGTTCCGAAGGTGAAAAATTCGAACTAGAACGAGTACTATATGTACATATATGATACTATATATGTAGAAATAATTGGGAAACTACATCATTTCCAATTAAATTATTTATTATTTTATATTTAAATTATGAAACAGAAGTAGGGCTTCCTAATTTTTTCCATACAATTTGATGTTAAATTAATTCCCAGAATACGGTTGTTGAAATAGAATTTATTTTATTTTGAGAGCCTTTATTTTTATGCTAACATTTTTTAGGTACTCATTTTCTCAACAGCGTTACCATACTTTCAAAATATGTTTATACATTTTATAAACAAAAAAATGGCATTATTAGATAATTTGGAGTTACTGCCGTAGCTTTAGTCGTGTTCTGTTTCATAATTAAGAAATTTCTAATTGAATTTCAAAAATTTTTAAGTGTATTTCAGAATTTTCCATTTGTATTTCAGTAAATTCCAATTGTATTTCAGAAATTTTTAATAGAATTTTCATGTAAAAAGTTTATAGATGTCTTAATAACCAGTACTATTTCCCATATATTTTAACCCTACAACGTTCCGAATTTGACCATTTTTTTTAATAAAAATTTCAACTTTGAGATGCTTATTGATACAATTTTATAGCTGCTATCGCAAAATGTAAAACAGTTTTGAAAAGCTTCCTGAGTTCCTTATTTATTTCTAAAGTATTTACCCAGCGCCGAAAAAAATGTTTAAGTTTTTGGGAATCATGAAAATTCCTTTTGACCTTTGAAAATATAAAATTCTTTAAAATCGGATAGGACACAAAGAAAAAAATTAGGTGCTCTACCTTGAGCCCCCACAGCGCTGTCCTTTAACAATTTCTGGAGTCCATTTTCAAAACTTAAACACGAATACTACTTGACTACGATCATGTCCAATTATTATACCGTTTGGAAATGCGAGATTTATCTCAAAACAATTTTCGATTCTGTCCCACTGTGGTACCTTTGTGAAGGCTAATACAAATCGATAGTTTGAAGCATACTACATCAACATTAAGCTAAACTTGCTGCAATTTTTCTTATCATAATTTACGTTCCATATATGGGCCCTTTAAGGAATAATTTCCATATTTCCTGTTCAAATATGTTAAAAAAGAGTATAACCTCCTTTTAAGGTAAAAACTATATTTTGGTACACTAAAGTTTTAAAAATTGGTTTGATTTAGTTACACTTAATAAGCTATAGCAGCTTCAGTTGCAACTCCAGTACTAAATATTATTTTTTGGTTCTTTGACTGGTACTTTTCTTTAACTGGTACTTTTTGAGTTTTCTATAATATTGAACCTAAAATTTTATGAGAATCTATAAACAGGAGCTTATTGGTACGTTTTCCTTCTTCAAATGGTACTTTCTGAAATATAAAATTAAAAATTCAGAACCTTGAGCGAATGAAAATTTGTAGTAATGAATTTTTAGTACTTTTTCGATCTCTAACTGGTTCTTTTTGAGTTTTTTGTAATATTAACATTGGACTATGAAATTAAACATTAAGAGTCCAGAGTAAAGTAGAATCCATAAAAGGAGATTTTTTTGGGACCTTTTTATTCCTTAATAACATTGAACCTTGAACGAGTAACAATACATTTCCATCCTTTAGCTGGTACTTTTTGAGGTTTTTGTAATATTAAACCTTAAACCAAGATATTAAACATGCAGAGTACTGAGTAAATAAGAATCTATAAAAGGGTTTTTTTGTCGCTTTTTGCCATATCTATAATATTGAACCTAGAAATGTAAAATGAAACATACAGCATCTTCATTAAATGAAATCTATAAAAAGCAACTCTCTGGTACTTTTTCCTTTTTCAACTGGTACTTTTTGAATTTGCTGTAATATTGAGCCGAGAATCAGAAAATCAAACATATAGGCTCTTATTTGATTGAAAACTATAAAAGGGAACTTTTTCGTTCTTCAACCGTTACTTTTCGAATTTTCTGCAATATTGTATAAAAGGGGATTTCTGATAGTGCAGATACATACATATAAATGGGCAATTTCGTGTCAAGTGAACCAACTTTTAAAATCGATGTTTTCCAATTTTGATGAATTTGATTGAATTTGGACCAAGGTTAGTACTATTAGATAGTAGGTCAGAAACAAATTTTCAGCTCTATCTGTCAATAACTGCCGGACTTAGAAGGGGTCAAAGTTGGACATTTTGGCCAAACAGGGATTTATTTAAATGAGTGCAACTTTTCACCTATTGGTCGTAGCAAAAATTGTTCTCAGGATTTCAGATAGCTATTTCTTCGTTGGTTCCAAAAAAAGTTTTTTAAATTTAAAATAAAAAAATTTTCCGAAGACATCGATTGTAAAAGTTAGGTCACTTGACACGAAATTCCTCCTATATAAATTTTTGTATCAAATCAATGAATCTTTAACAATAACTACCGAGTTAATCAAGAAAAGATATCAAAACTAATTTTCAATTTCTTATTTTTCAGAAAAAAATTAAAACTTGAAAAAAATTTAAACAAATTGTTTAAATAAAAAATTCTGTTAAATTCATTTTTGAAATCATGGCTTAACTGATTAAAATTTAAAAAAAAATATATTATTAACTATTTATTTTAATAGGAGGTGACACGCCCATAACTTTAAATTTCTTTCAAATTAACACTGAAAATATTTAAACAAATTTTTAAATGAAATTTTAATTTTTAATTAAAAATACTTGTAGACAACTAACAACATTTAAAAAGAAGTTAAAACTAAACAAATAGTAAAAAAATATTTATTTTGTTATTAACTAAAGGCTTTTTTTTAAATAAATGTTTATTTATTCAAAATTGTTTTATATACTTCGTATATTAACGACCAAAGGCTGCGATTTCTTGGGAACATGTGTTTTTTTTTTCCTAAATATTAATATTTATTTTTATTTGGTTAATACACAGTCTAAGTATTAATTAATTAACTTTTTTTTAATTAACACTAACAGAGAAACTTTTTTTTTTTTTTTTTTGAAAAGTTAAAACAAATAACAGAAAAAATTAATGTGTAAATATGATTGGTATGTGTGTTTGTTTATTATTATAACAATAACAATTAAATAGAATAATTAATATTAATTTAAGTTTAAACAACTCAAATTTAGTCAAAAAACGTTTTACGTGAAAAAAAAAGTAATGAAACAGAAACAGTGTAAACAAAATGAAAATAATATTTTTCTTTCCATTAACTATATTATATATATTAAAACAGGGAACTACTTATAAATAAAATATCATTTCTAACCTAAAAAAAATATATATATAATTTTAAAATAGTTTTTTTTATTTTTTGTAAATTTTTTTCGTTTTTTAAACATTTTTTTATTTGGAAAATTATGCGTGGCTGCGGCATACAGTCTGTGTGTGCAAGCAAACAAAACTTAACGTGGCAATAATTTTGAAACGACAAGGTTTTTTTATTATTATTAATATTTGATTTGATATTTTAAGTTAAATAATTTTTACTCAAAAAAAAAATTGTGAAAAATTTTTTTTAAATAAAAAATATTTTTAAGTATATTTTTGCTTAAAAAATATAAACTAAAAAACAAATGTTAAAAATAAATTGAATGTAATTAAAAAAAATTATTAAAGCTAGTTGTGGTTTAATTTAATTTTTTTAATAATAACAAAAACTAATAAATTATTTTAACTAAAAATATAGAAAACAAACCAACGAACGAGAACGAACGATTTGTGTTAAAAAATATTATTTTGTTACAAAAAAACGCAACTACAGCATGAATTTATTAATTAATAAATTATTATAAATAAATAAAAAATTATTAATAATTAACAACATGTAAAGGAATCTTGGGTTAAGTCAAACACTGTTTATTTCTTTTTAATTTTTTTTTGTAAATTTTTTTTTTTTTTTTTTTTTTTGTAAGAAAATACTAAACAAAAGCTGAAAATTATTGGTTTACTTTTAAAGAAATTAAAACAAAAAAATAGCTTTTGATAAAAAAATAAAAAAATAATTATAAATAAATTAACATTATTTAAAAA